TAATTTAGTTGACTTTACACTAATGCTTAGATATTCAGAAAACAGGGTCATATCACTAAAAGTCAGTAAAATAAATAAAAACTGCAAATAGACACGTGAGGCATAAATAAAAATACAGTTGACATTTAATTTTTTTTAAAAATTTATTACTGCAAAAGATATATTGCCATTAATCCCCTTCACTTCAAACACACTTATCCCCTCATTCCTGCCACTTTCTGAAGCAGTTCTGGAGTCCGCTTTCCTGAGTGTCTTTGAGTTTTGCACTTCCATGGTTGACTTGATGTTTTGTGGCTGCTCTGATGTCTTAAACTGATTAAAAACATTTACCTCTTATGCACATTTTGACTTTGGGGAATAATCAGAAGTTGCACAGTTGTGCGTCCAGTGAATAAGATGGATGAGGACACACCATAATGTTTTTATGAGCCTACCTTTTTGTTGAATGGGACTTGCCATGTAGCATTCAATGTATTTTTATCACATTCAATAAAGAAGCTCACAAAAGAGGACTTCTGGAACTGCTTCAGAAAGTGGCAAGGACAATGACATAAGTGTGTTTGAAACAAGGGGAGTATTTTGAGGAGGATTAATGGAAATGTGTCTCTTACTATAATTTTTTATTTTATTCAAACACTTTATGAGTAGTATATGTTTGTAATACATAATTACATTCATCTTCAGGAATTGGTACATAGACATCTCACATAACCATATTTTTATTGCACCTCATTGTATATATGTAATGAAAATGAATTTGTCTATCCCTCCTTTTCAACTACATTTTTAATGCCAGGAATATCGGTTTAATTGCTTTCCTTGTAAAGAAATTTTCTGCTCTACATATGACTATAAATTTTTAAAGAATGTTTTACAGAGAAACCAATTCTCTCAAAATCACACTCCTTTCCATATGTTTTTCTGCAGGGCGAGAGTTCCCAGGGACTACTTTAAGAATGTACATGCGTAGACAAAGCTTATTGGACAGTGTTAGTCTTCCTCTAGAAGCAGACCTCTCTCTGTGGTAAAATTCTTCAGACAACATTTACAGTGTAGGTAACAATTGTATAGTTTGTGGAGAATTGGGTCCCCACTTGTTTTTAATGAGACTTTCACGAGACCACAATGAAAGAGATTTAAAATGTCCCCCCAAAGTTTCATGGATTCAGAGGTGAGGCTTTCAGAAGGCGAGTGAATTAGGGGATGCTGTACTCATCAGTGTATTCGTACATTGATGAATTCCTATCTGAATGTGCTGTTAAGAGGTGGGACCTGGCTGGAGGAAGTGGACCACCCAAGGCAGTGGGGAGTATATCCTTGATCTGTCTTTTCGCTGTCTTTCTGTTTCCTGACTGTCATGGGGTGAGCATGAGGTGAGCATGGGTGAGCTTTCCTTTACCATGCCTTTCTACCATGATGTTTCTTTTATGAAGCCAGCTGACCAGGGACCAGAACCTCTGAAACTGTGAGCCAGAAATAAGCCATTTCCTCCTTTAAGTTGTATATGTGAGGTATTTTATCCCAGCAACAAAAGCTGACTAATACAAGGGTGTTGTGGACCACCGTGAGGCCTTGCCTTTTTCTCTGAGGGAAATAGAGAGTCATTCGTGGACTTTAATCTGACTTAGGTGTGGAGGATGACACATTTGTTGCTTTGTTTAGAACAGATTATAAGAAAGCAAAGTTATAAGTGATAGAGCAGTTGAGAATCTGTCACAGAGATCCTTCATAAAACTGTGGTGATTTGGACAAGGAAGGTAGCAAGGAAGGCAGTTTTGAAGATTGAGCTAAGAGCCTATCCCAGTAGATTAAATGCAGCATGTAAGAGGAGAAAAGTGATCAAGAAGGACCAGAAGGACTTTGGTGTGAGAAGCCAGAATAGAGTTTGTTTAGTCCACTTTCCATTACCATAACAAATGCCTGGGATGAATCAACTTGTAAAGAGAAAAGGTATTTTGGCTCACAGCTTGAGAGGTCCAGTGCATGATCCTATGGACATAGTGTTTTTAATCCTCCAGTTGGGCTTGGGAGAGCCATATCAAGGCAGAGAAAACTTATTCACTTCATGCCTGGATGGTAAAAAAGGAAAAAAAAAAAAAAAGAAGCTAGGGTGACCATATATCCTTCAAGGACACACACCAAGTGACTAAAAGACCTCCCACTAGGCCCCATGTCTTAAAAGTTTGACCACTTCCCAGTAGTGCCATGGGATAGTGACCAAGCCTTAAAGCCAGGGAGTTTTGGCCTCACATAGTTATGCCATAGTACAGTTGCCATCAATTGAGATAGCAAAGGGTGTTGCAGCAACCAATTGGGATGTTGGATGCAAGGTTCAGTATATGACATATTAAGCTTGAACTATTCGATATCTAGTAGAGAGCTAGAGCAGGCAGCCAAAGTGATCTGGTGACAAGTGTTGTGTACACTGTAGTCTTTATAAGGGGCTTACGTGTGGCATTCACAGGAGTAAAGTAAGTAGTGGTTTTGACTAATACAGTCCCTTCTCCTTTGACTGTGTCACTCAGTTTGTCCAAAATAATTGTAAAGCTTTGCTCTTGCTTATTAGATGCAGTTTCACTCTGACCTAGCAATTACAGACCTCCTCAGGGAAGAGCTCCCTTCCTTGCCTTTCGGGGCTGTTCAATTCCTTACTCGCATACTACCCTATGGTGGTAAATCCCAATTTCTCAAGTGTAGTTTGAAGGCACTGTGGAGAGAGGTCAGATTTCAAAGTGAAAATTAAAATGCACTATTTATGCATTCAATGTATGTAATTCTGCAAAATTTCTAAAAAAATTAGCAATAGAAGAAGACATACAGTAGGATGATTTCATTTCAAGATTCCAGCTTTGAAATGAAAGCTTCTCACTCTGAGTGATCATCTCATCTCTTAAATTCTGGTTTCTTCATTGGTGAAATTGAGAGCTGATAGGATTGTGGAACACACTAAGTGAATAATAAATGTAAAACACTCAGCACACTACCAAACACGGTAAGTTCTTAAATTGATAGCTATTACGATGATGATATGGAACTTTATTTTTTTATTTTCAGTGGGAACTAAGACTAAAGATTTTCCTGAGGCTTGATATCTACTATAAACTTTTTAATTAAGAATACACCTTGATAGATCACTTAAAATTTAGGAAACTTAGCTTCAAGGCATTAAGCCAAAGGAAAGAAGAAGGTGTTGGGAACAGAAATAAGAATTTGAGCTGCCTTTGCTGCCTCCATTCCCCTCTTGAATTTCCCCATCCAGTGCCTTGACCAGATTGGGTAATTAACAAATCGAATTGAATTAACTCAAAAGGGGAATACTAAGCTTATCTCTTCTCCCTTGTGTTTTTTGTTTTTGTTTATTGTTGTTGTTGTTTTTGGTACTGGGGATCGAACTCCGAACCTTGCGCGAGGCAGGCGGCAGCACAACTGAGCTAAATCCACAGGCCTCCCTTGTGTTATTTTAATTGTGTATAGATTGTTACTAAGCATGATTCTTTGGAGGAAACAGAATATGTTTACTATAGAAAGACACATATTCTTTTAGCCCAGCAATTTTGGAAACAGAAGATGGTCTCCATGGTAAGAAGATGGGAATGGAGTAGTATTAATAGAAGATAGCACAGAAATAATGCACATTATAGAGTATAAAGGAAAGATTTTTTTTTTTTAGCTTCTCTGCCTAAAATAATATTGTGGACTATAAGTTATGCTAAATTGGTGCATAGAAAAAAAGAAGCAGCCATAATATGGTATCTCAGAGTGAAAGTCAATAGTCATCTCTCTGAAAGCATCCGAGGGAAGCAGGAGCCTCTCACGCCCTTGGCACATGGACTCTAAACCGGCCCTCCCATGGTTTGGAACAAAGACTTTGAAAATACTCTGACTTCTTCGAAGCACATTTTTAGACGTATAATAGTGATTTAATCCTTGCATCCAGGAGCTACCAAACAAACAAAATATGAGCATGAATAAAAGCCTAATAAGACAATTATCATCTGGTATTCTCAACTCTTCTCCAGTCCAATTTTGGATCCCAATCACTTTCTTTCTACGTCCTTAGCTCCCTTTGCTCAATGTCTAATAGAGTACTTTTCTCTCCTCTTTTTTCCCGTGTTGGTAGGATCTATTTATTCTTTCTTATTTATCTATGTGATTGAATATCTCTAGTGTTATTTTGGGGTTACCTTAATCCATTCTCTTTCAGTTGTTATAATCTAAATTTCTTGATGAATTTTCTTCTACTTTTGCTCTGCACTCTATTTCCCTATCTGTAACCTGTATTTATCTTACCTCTCCCTCTTTCTCCATTTGCTCACACAATTACATCCCAAAATAATGATATTCCTAATATGACACCTATTGAAGTGAAAAGACACCCATGGAATTTACCATAAAATGATAAATTTTATTTTAAAATAAACAGACCCAAACATATATATTTGTATGAGTACATATTGTCCCTTTTAAAAAATAGTTGGAGTGATATTCCTACAAGGCTTTGGAATTAATTTTAGAATCACTTTATAATCTTCATAAGAAAATCATACTGCTACATTACAGTAAAAGCTTCCTGCTCACCCAGATCAGTATTACCTAATTTATAGATCCAATGCCAAATTTACTTTGATAGTTCACAGCAATCCTTAGAGGGTGAAAATTTCACCTGTTAAGGATTTTTCAGAAAAATGTGGGACTTAACCTAAAGACAATTCTGATGAAGAGTTACAAAATTATTTTTGAGTAATGGCAGCATAATTAAAATAAATCTATAGTCCCAAGTACTTTAGAAGGGAAAACTCCCTTTTGGATGGATATATATATTTTTTTGTTTCTAACAAATTGAACTCGCTATTTTATAGTCATGTCGTAAGAGCTAACTCAGAAGTTCTTTTATTTGATTTAAACTATTTTCTAGTACATAGCATGCTTAAAACTTCTCATCTGTATATGTGGGAAATAGACACTTAATAATAAGCATATGCCTGTCTTGTTGTCTCTAGGTCTATACTTGATAAGAAGGAACTACTGGAGTTTGCTCAGCTTGGCTGTTACTTGGAATATGACCTCTTTGGTAATAAATTTCTTAATTACCAGTTCAACCCGAATATTGATATGCCTGATGATAACAAAAGAATTAGAAGGTAAATATGGTTACATTTCTCATAGCACCCTCACTTACCATCCCTTTTTTATTGTCAGACCTGGGTGAGTATTAGCAAAGATTCAGAAAACAGTGAGCAGGCTGAACCACAGAATTGCAGAGAAAAGTATATCTGCGCTCTTTCAGGGAGAAAATTTCTATATATTATTTCAAGGAGAAAATGAGTCATCCTAAGTAGGGCTAAAGCTTAGCAGAGCCTTAAAGTTCAGTGCAGATGGGCAACTGACAAGAAACACGGATAATGCTCAACCCCTGCCATGACAGGAAGAGAACAAAAACCACTTTCCTCCTTTACTCCTAATGAAATAAGCTCTTTCCTTCCCAGGCTGACCACCCGAAAGTCATACCTTCCTGTGGTTAATATATGAAATGCATTTAACCTTTCATGAAGGGGAGATTGTAACTTAAGTGCTAATAGTGCAATGTCTAAACACCCAATATCATACAAAATGTAATCTCCCCAAATTGTCTAATGTGTGATCAAGCAAACAACTGTAAGATTCATTCTTGGTAATCAAGTAGAAAAATTCAGAAGCCAAGGATGTCTACTGGGATGGATCTTGATTATGTGGTAATATGAAGACTGAATGAACTAAGCTAGGGATTCTGGGAGGAGAAACAGATTTGGGATTGACCAGAGAAACCTCAAGATGTCTAAGTGTTGTTATCCAGTGGGCCCTAAGGTAAGGATATGAAACTCAGAGCAGAAATTCGGGCTGAAAAGTAAGTTTAGACATCATTGGTGGTAGTCAAACCGTGAGAATGGAAGAGATTACTCAGAGAGAAGATAAGAGCAGAACCTGGGTCACAGGAAGAGCCATCCAAGGACAGGTGAAGAAGTTCTCAAACAGGTAAAATCATGGAAATACATTCTTGCAGATGTCATGGAGAGATATACCTTGGCAGAAGAGCTTGGGGTATCAAGTGAGATCAGGACGAAAAGCAACCATTGGATTTCACAGTTAGGAGGGTCTCCTTTCACAATAAGTGTGCGTCTCAGTAGCAGTGGCTTGAGGAATGAGTCAAAGGTGAGGAACAGTGTGGTGGTTACTCTTTCAAAAAGTGTGCTAGCAAAGGGAAACAGGTAGGTGAGGCTGAAACCAGGAAATATAGGAAAAAGGGAAACTTTTATTAAGAACCGAGCAATTTATGTGGCTATGAGCAGAAGAACAGAGATAGAAGTGGATCCAGGGAAGGAGTGCCATTCCACAGCGTTGTGATAGAATTTATATGAAATGAGTTTATGCAAAGTTTTTTTTTATCTGAGTGTCTGGTGCTGTAGAAGAAGTGTTCAATAGACACGTTGACTTCAAAAAGTCTGGAGAGATAAGAAATACAGAGATAAGCTCCTGGAGGGGACAAATAGATGGAATCTGGGGAGCAAACAGAAAGTTGGTTGAAAAGATAGTTTCTCCATAGAAAAAGAGCACAAAGAAAGCAATGATATGAAGACAGATAAATGTATTGGCCAGAGGGACAGGAAACAGACCAATGGCCATGCATTCTCTAGTGTCCCTGTGAAGTAGACACAGTCACCTCCTAAGAAAGAAAGAGTGGATTCAGGGCAGGACCTTGTAAAGGCGAATGAAGTCTTGGAAGGGCTGTTAGGTGAATGAGGGAGACCCTAACAAAGCCATGTGTGTGAGACCCCCTTGAGTCTGGAAATCACAATTGAATGACTGTATGTTGCTAGCAGTGTACATGTAATGTTTTGAGTGTTGGTAGTAGGACAAGAGAAGTTTTGTGAGTAGAAGCAGAAAATGTCAGCAGTTAGAGTGATATAGGGTTCAGATTCTACTGGGAAAATGTGGGTGATCCCAGGGGAACAGATGAAGCACAGAAATGAAGGCCCCAGAGTCCAAGCTGGAGAAAAGAATATACAGAGAGAAATAGGTGGGTAAATAGGAATGACAGAGCAGGGCAAATGAGAGGCTTTCTTGAGGTGGGGGAATAGATACATGAGTGAGTGGAAAAAGAAAGAGGCTGTGATCCGAGTTGGAAAGTGAAGATTGATTTCAGAGAAAAAGCACTTCTATGTGATTTCAAGGTCCAGAATATGTTTATAAGGGTAGAAAGCCAATTAGAATGAAAGTAAATAAAACTATACTTGAGAAATAATGTCGAGAAACCATGAGGCTCAATTATGGATGATTAAATGCACGCACATCAGGGAAGAGAGAAAGATCCTGAGCCAGTAAGAATATCCTCCTTGATGACCTCAGTAACAGTAAAATGTGCCTGAAATTTAATGTCATGGGAGAAAGCTCACTGATAAATGTTACACTTGTTATGTAAGGCGGCAGCCACTCTATTTAAGCAGACTGCTATGACTTAAGCAATGAAGCTAGGTCTTTTTTTTTTTTTTTTAACACTTACACCAGTTCTTTGGCAAATAGATTTATTGTTTCTTTTGCTTTATGTTTTTAATTTATTTGCTCGGGAGCACTATGAATGTAGGCAACAGGTTTCCCTGAGGCCCTACTCCTCTGTGCCCTACTCAGGGGGTGAATATTATTTGTTCAAAGACAGCTGGAATGTAAAACATGGTTGTGTGGTAGGTCTTTCCCATCTTTCGTGATATGACAAACATGATTTCATGATGAATGCCCATTTTACCCTTCATCTTGGACATGGAAAGTTTGCCTTCAGGATCTATTTCCTTTTCCTAAGCCACTCTGTTGCAGTGAGGTGTGTTTTTTGCACTAGTGATCCTTCCATGATGTTTCCCAACCTGCTGGAACAAGAGAGTGGAGATTTTTTGTTTTTTTGGCTTTCAGTACCAGGGATCCAGCTCAGGACCTTGTGCTCACGAGGCAGGCATGGTGCCACTGAGTTAAATCCCTGGCCCGAGAGAGAGATTTTTAAAGGAAAATCTATGGAGATATACAAAAAGAATCAAAGGCTTCCCATGCATTCCTGCTTAGATCCTTTTAACTATTAGTTCAAGAAAAAGAATGTGATTTTGGCTCTTTGATTGTGTTAAATGTCAACATTCTGAACATATGAAAATACATTAAACATACATATATATGGGAATGTATATATATGATATGTTTGTGCTATTCTGTGTATAGATGCAGGTGTGCATATGTATGTGGGCTTAATCTTCCTTAAATTAAAACCGAGCATTGAGTAACTTTACCCAAGCACAGCTCATGTTGCCTTGTGTTTGTTTCTTAGCTTCGTTTTGGGGGGAGCAGGGTCTCACTGCGTTCCAAGCTGGCCTTGAACTTGCTAGGTAGCCCAGGATGGCTTTGAACTCTCAGTTCTCCTGCCTCAGTCTTCCAAGTGCTGGGATCCCAGGCCCGAGCCACCACACCTGGCGAGTTCATGTTAATCACTGAATGACCCTTGTGACTGTGTGTGACCCACTACCTCATCGTCCTGCGCACTTGGTTTTTATCTTTCATCTGCAGACCCTTTTTGGCCATCATAGTCTGAAATCTCTGCGGTTTCAGAACACAAAAGCGCGCTTCTGCCTACCTCTGGCTTTCGGCACCAGAAATTCTGTGTCTAACACCTGTTTTCAATCTTATGCTCCATTTCTCAAATCTTATTATATCTCTGCCTTTTCACACTTTGTAGTCTCTCTCTAATATTTGTTTGCAAAACACTAACTCATTTGTATTGCTATAATTACTGTAATTTTTTTGTCTTCTCATCTGTAGTGGTTCCTCCCTTCTGGCAGCATTGCTACGACTCCTATTCTTCCATATCGTGGCAGGAACACATGGAAATGATCTCTTAGTCACGGGGTAACCAGGCAGATTTCCTTGGTAGTCAGGATGGAACTGTGTTTCTAGAGCTAGAACATTATCTTGCTCATAAAACAGTCTCCCAATCCTTGACTTTAAGGACTTCTAAAAGTTTCATTTTTAAATACGAGTATCTTATTCACCATGCACCTTCTTTACTACTCTCCACATGGATAACTTTGTGTTTCAAGATGTGGTAAAAGGCATCTTACGGGAATTTGTTTATTCATGTGTATCCCTGTATGGTAATGAGATATCATAATTTTCAGTCAAGGAAAAGACATTCAGAACTTTGGGAAATGCTTAGAAAATTTCAGGAAGAAATGGAATTTAACCCACTTTATGGGACAGGCATGGGGACCACATGGCAGGAGCCCTGATTTCTAGACAAAGTGCCCATCCTGGCTCTTCCACTCTGGCATTTACATTCCTTTGAGCTACAAATGTAAGGTCTAATCTTCAGTTATACTTTATTTCATAATGTGTGTTCTCAGAGGCCAGGGCTTTGTGCTCGAGTTATGTGTGTGTGTCTGTGTGTGTGTGTGTGTGTGTGTGTGTGTTGTATCACACATCTTAGCATAGCTGTTGTTACATGGAACTCATGCCCCAGAATCCCAAGAAATGCTGCCTATAGAGACCAAAAGGATGCCTTTAAAGTACCCGGGCCCTGCAGGAAGGTACTGTCCATTCCCTTCCACCCATTCAAGACCCCTGAAGCTGTACCAGAGTCCCGGGAACATGCCATGTCAACAAGCTGCCCCCCTGCCATCAGAGACCCTTGGAAGCCAGGACAGAGGCTGCCCGGAGTGCAGCCATGAACAGGAGGCTTCAGGAGGTGACTCACACTACAGACGACTGTATCTAACCAAGCAAAGAGGACTACACTTTTAGACAGTTGTCAGGAAGCTGTTCTGTAGTCAACTGACTGTAGATTTAAAGGAACAGCTTATTGTTTTAACAATCTTGTAGACAGCAAAGGAAGACAGAGTAAAGTTTGTTTTTTGGATTCTTTCCTTTTTTTCTTTTCTTGTTTTTTTTTTTTTTTTTTGCTCAATTTAATCCAATGCTCAGAGGCTACTACTAAGTCAAAATTCCCATAGATTTCAAAGAGATAAATGCTCAAAATACGGAGGTGCTTTTGGCAAGCCCACTTCACTGACTCTGTAGCTCCTCTCATGTGGCCCTCACTTGCAAAGCTACTGATTTGACTCTGAGGGTTTTATTTGTATGAAGATTCCTTTTGTTTCCATATTTTAATCACAAATACCCACTGATTTTATTTGCCAGATAAAGAAAGAAACTGGGCCTACTAAGATAGGCATTTGAAAGAGGAGAGCTGAATACCAAACCAGAACAAAGTTATTTAGTAAAATGCTAAAGTGGTCATTCATTTGAGCTGGCAGATCCTATTAGAAGCGATCTTTAGTGCAGCATTGCCAGGCATTGTCGTAAATATCACAGGCTGGAAATTTCTGTGTGCATGGAATAAGGATCTTGTGCCTCCTTGGAGGCAGCAGTATCTGTATCATCACCACATAATATTTATTAAGGGTGTCCAGGTACACATGCCCCAGTGGAAGGCCTTGTCCTTACAGCAAACATGATGAGCAAGAAGTTTAAGGCACTCAGAAAATCTAATGTGTGAGACAAGTGGCATCTAATGAGTTAACATTTTCACAGGGTGCGTCTCCTGGTGGAGGAAGGCTACGGAGATCGAATTTTGATGGCCCATGACATACACACGAAGCATCGTCTGATGAAATATGGAGGTCATGGCTATTCTCATATACTCACCAACATTGTGCCTAAAATGTTACTTAGAGGTATAACTGAGGCTGCGCTTGATAAAATACTGATAGAAAATCCTAAGCGATGGCTCACTTTCAAATAGGATGGTTGCTTATGAATCAACACTGAGTATAAAACTTGCAGAAAACCTTCAGTGATTTCAAGCCCATGGTACGATATTAATCAGATCTACATAGGATGCACTGACTGATTATTTCCTTCTCATGAGAAGAGTTTGCCTTCTCTGTAAAAGGCTATTTGCATCTGTGGGGAGTTGCTGAGCCTAACTGAGCCCTTTTGTTTTGCCCTAACAAAATAAATACAGAAAAATCCATATTTCCAAACAATGATTTGAAGTCTGTATCCCCTAAGAGGAGTTTTGGGGTTTTTTTCCTAATCTATCAGCTGCACTACTTGAGACAATTTAAAGTGTTTCTGGTTAAATTGCCCCCTTCTGGAGCAATCTAATGTTTCTTGTAATATTGATGATCCTACTAATTATCCTGCTGTTCTTTAATTAATGCTTAATGAATAATATGGTACTTTCAAATAGCTTTTGCTGCAAGGAAGTTAAAATTGGAGAGTTTCTTTTCCAAAGGATACTGTAATATAATTACCAACACACAACAATAATAATATTTTGGAAAGTTAATTGTATGCTATCTACCTATCTATAATAAATCAGTTTTGATGCCTTTGGCTTTCTGGTGTCCTTTTTTTTTTGCTGTAAATTTTGTTGTGTTTTGCAAAGTTTACAGAAGAATATGCAACAGTGATGGATTATAAAAATTCAATCATAAAAGTCAAAATATATTACATAATATAGTTTAATGAATCATTACATTTATAATAACAAAGGCCACAATTTAATTATTTCATAAGATATAATGCAAAAAAGAGAAATGTTTGCCTTTATATATATTCCCATTATTTCCCTTACCATTTTTCCTCGGGCCTAAACAGAGAAAAATAATGCTTATTTATCTGAAGAAAAGGCCAGATCCATTGGAAATGACAGTGTGATTCTAAAGCCTTCTCTTTAAAAGGTGTCCAGGCCTGATAATTCGTGTAAATAAAGCCTTTTAAAAAATATTAGTTAAAACTCTTAATGGTTCTGCATTGCTGTTTATAAACTAATATTTGGACTGAATCCTCACTCTGTTATTTGGTACCTAACACAAATCTCCAATCTGTTGCTGCCAATTCCTCTTTGATAAATATACATTGTTAAAGAGAAAAAAACTGTTACAATTCATTGATGAGTTATCTTACATATTAGAAAGGCCAAAGAGAATTAGTCATTCTTCTTGACGAATGGACCAAGAGTTTTTAATCATATAAATCATGACAGTTGCTCAGACCAAGGCATTTAAACACAGCAAACCCCACCTTCAGATGAGAACACCATGCATAACTCTTGGAAAGTTGAAGTTGGCTAAATTAAAGATATTTTAGCTGATCAAAGATGATCAAGCTTTCTGTGTATTAGAACAGTAAGTACCAAAGAGGAATGAGCCATGAGAACAAACCAATTCCTTTAAATGAAAAAAATGCAAATCTCCTTCACCAGTAAAACAAGCAGATTTTTAAATCTTTGTTTTTGAAATCTACTTGTCAAAGAGTCTTCAAAGGCAACTGAAAGGAACAGATTTTTTTTTCATTGTAATAATGGAAATTGTGTGATAGTTAGGATGTAGCAACATGCATTTTAATCTTTTTCTCAGATGAAAGAGATGGGTTTTGGCAGTGGATTTTAACTAGAGAGAAAGGGTTTGTATAACATCCAAAATGTACTGTCAGCTTCCATCCACCTGAGAAAAAAGAAAAATTGATAACACTGTGCATATAACTCATAAACATTGTGAAGGAGCGCCCCTTGGCTGCTGCAGTCCTGATATTCAGAGTCTACAGAGAATGCAGTACAGTATTGATTGGCATATGGTAATGAAGCAACCATAGGCTTAACTCACACAGGTGAAGTGTAGGGCACTTTAACCTACTAAGGTTTCATTTTCTGGATAACTCTTAAAGAGAAGTCACCTTAATTATTTTGCTACACCATATATTTTTGTCACCTAAAATATATTTTGATCTAAAATAAGTTCAATAATTCACGCATGTTTCTCTGTGTGTGTGTATACACATATTTTTTAAATTAAATTTTTGAAGCTCTGTAGCCACTGTACACCATGGACTGAAGCCATATGTATATAATATTTCATCTAACATATACATGTATATGTATATAAATATGTGTATGGTGGGTATTTCTAGAAAATATATACACTTTGTTGTCATACTGATTATATGTGAAATTGTTACTTTTGCGATAACCTCAGGCCACAGATTTGTAGTAACTGTTTGAAGGTCTTACTTAGGGTCCCTTCGGTGATGCATGCAGTATCTCAAATTAAACCTCTGTGCATTGGGTTATGCGTAATCCCTTGTTCCAAAGAAGGCAAAAGCCCCAGTCTGATTTAATACCAAAGGATAAATTTCTCTGACTTTCCAAGTAAATCTTAATGTGTTCTATTGACAAAATGGACATAAGGGGGATTTTCTACGTACCATACATAATTACACATTTTCACACTTAGAGAGTAATCCTATGATACAATTTCAACCTCTAATTTTTAATGACTATCACCAGAAAAGGGAGAGAAAAAAACTTGTAAGAAAAGGAAAATGTGAAAATGATCATAGGCTTGGGAATTCCCACAAATCCAGAAAATTCCAGGTTAAGGCTTGAAGTTGAATCATTCCCAGGTCTAGCTCTAAAGTTAACAAGAGCACAAGGCAAACAATTTCTTTGGGGACAAGCAGTATTACTTCAATTAGACCTTCTCCTGCAGGGTAAAATGATTTTCCCCACACTATGAATGGACTCCAAGTATCATAATAAGCAGGTAAACTCACAAGAACCAAAGCTGACATATGGATAAAAGCAGCAAGATCACAGTACACCAAAGTATCATATATATTGAAGAAATAATTCAGTGTCTTAGATTTCTCTATAAAAATTTGTGATCTATATAGGACTTCATTCACATGGACACTAACAATAAGGAGTATTTGCTTTGGCGGTAGTGGATCACACATCTGCTTATCTTGCTTTAAATATTTTTTTTACATAATGTTTCTGAGTGATACAGATGTGAGTCAGGTAGCATTTGATTTCCCCACATATACACAACTGAGGTGCATCCCCCAGGATCCTTCATTCACTGACGTTAGCCATACGAATCCAGTGTTCAGACTCAGAATAATAAGTTTAGTTTCTGCATTATCAGTCAGCATAAATAATAAATCCAGAAAACGTGCTGTATTTGTTGTTGTTTCCTCCATGGGCTTTCCCCCCATCTAATTTGATGTAGACTTCGTCTCCTGGTTCCAGATGAAGAACCACACTGTTACTGGCATAGTCGTAATTCTGATCAGCATCTTGGGCAATTGCACTAGCACGCACCTATGCACAACAGACAAGAATTAGGGTTAGTGAAAGAGAAGTCGCCGGTTTTCTTTTCTGCTAGTCACCTCGCATCCTAAGCAGACTTGCTGTCATAACAGGGAATGTGGCATAAGGACAGGGCCATCCACCTTGGCCTCAGAGCTTTATAAGAATATGTCTGTCACAGTTTCGATTATGTTATTGGAAAGGAGGAAAGAAAAAGAAAATATGCTTTATTAAGGTACCTCTCGGCAATCTTTGCTACCACTGTAAACAAAGCAAATCAATCTTATCTCTGCCTACACCACTACTTTTTCTAATTCCTCGAAGAATCCCTATGCTCACTTCTTGAAATGTACACAGCAGTGCTGTTTTGCATTTTGATTTAAGGCAAGTAGCAATACTCTAAGCAAATCAGAGTGCAGAAGTTCAAGTCTAACTGAAGTGGCTCATCACATCAGAAAATTGGGATCGGCACTAGGTGAAGACCCAGAGAAACATTACTATGCTACTATACAGGAAGAAATAAAGGAAGAAAGTCCTTTAATTTATGGCTTTCAAAACGTAACACAAGCAAAGTCCCTTTTACCAGGCTATTTCAGAAACTAACTCATTTAAACATCTTTGGTGATATCATCCACATCTTCAGAGTTTTTCTATTTGTACCTTTTATCACTTAACTACATGCACTGAAGTCAATTTCAACATATCTAAAAGTTATAGAACTAAATTTCTGATTTGAAGTCTCAAATCTCTAGAATTTTTGAATGATCTCATTGAATATCTTATTATATGTAGATGATGCTAAACACGTGGTTTGTTTTGAGGATGGAGGTTGCTTAAATCTGTACATAAATATTTGCAGTCAAATTGCCTATCATACCACATAATATGGACATTCTGTCACATTCTCAAATTAGTCTTCATATTCATTTAGACATATTTTGAGTCTCCCCTGGAAAATCTTCCACTAGGCAGACTTGTATTTTGATTTATTTCAATAACACATCTTCTACTTTGTGGCTTGTTTCTATTCAACTATAATGATATTTCCCCAAATAACCCAGAATGATTTAGTGGTTTTGTGAACCTGCACTATGTAATAATGCATGACTTGGGGTACAATATGCCAGATTTTATCACTTGGCAACATGAGAGAAATGAGACATAAGTCAAGAATTCCCATGCATTTCTTTCAAAATTTAAATGATACGTTTTCAAATTAAATTTTCATGTGATATGTTCTCACATTAATGCTGAAATGTTAAAAAAGGAGAAGGCTCTTTGACACTGCTGAACTTGTAAAGTAATTTGAGTAGCATTTTAAAAATTTCTTTCTGGGTATCATGTAGCAAAAGGAAAAAAGGACTTAAAGGATTTAGAATTGCTTAACACTGTGCTAACTGGCATGAATATAATGAAAGCAATATGCCATGTAATTATGCTTTGCAGCACTGGGTCTAATGTATATACCAATAGTGAGGTGATCTGTTTTGACCATTAAATAATAATATATTTGAACTTCATAGTATTAATGAGGAATTAGTCATCAGTTTATAGAAGTTGAATGCTTTGATTAATTTCATTAATTTCTTCTAGCCATTAATTCCCAGGGGAAAAACATTTACACAAGGAACCATATGACTTGCTTTTTTTAACGTAGATTTTTAATGGATGAGAAAAAATTAAAATACAAAATTGCAATTAGCTGTATCAGTAATATATTCATTAATTATCAAACAAAATATACTTCCTAGCTATTGTTAATAACCAGACACACGTTTTATTCAGTGCTTTGAGTATTTAGTAAATGTTCCATGGGGACTGTCCTTTATCATTTTTTTCTTCATGAAGGCATTCGGGAACCAGGACACACTAAAAATCTCTTGATTTAGAGATAGCCATCTTTTTAAAAAATGTAATGCAGTTTTTATTCTATAGGATATAACCCCAAAACCAAGTAAATGTCACCATTTCTAATTCAGTAGGTGTAACCACAAAGCCCTGCAAATGCATTAGACTGGAAGGTTACCCTCACGCTTTACATTTTCTTTGTTGGATAAAGCCACTGTGATTGCTTTGTAATGAAAGTAATTCTCTAAGATTTTAACCTGCACTGTACCATAAGATGGTCCCAATACTAATCGCCCTACTTCAGGCTACAGGATTCAAGTGTGCCTGCTCACCTGATGACACTTTAAAGGTAGAATGGGACTGAAATTTCAAGCTCCAATATCTAGCTAGCTCAGTGACTTTAGCAATTCTTCCTTTAAGCCATCAAACCATTGAGGAAGGTAATGCTTTCCCTCTGGAGGCTATTTTCCCCTTCCTAAATGTACCCTGATTTCAGTAGTTGGTCAGAGAATATAATGCACCTTTTCCTCAATCCAACATACCTATTTCTACCTAAATTTACTTTAATGTCTTTTCTTATTATGTTAACCTTGTAGTTTCTGCTTTATCTTTACCCTGTGTTTCATTGCTCCTAAAATACCATCCATTTGACATGTATTAGTCTAAATGACTATCAGACCACAAACTATTCATTCTATTCAGTACGGTTCAGGTCCATTGGTGCCAGAGTTAATAAATTGTTAAAAGTGAAAATTAGTCTTTAATTATTTTATAGTTCTAATCCTAAACCAGTTTAGTTTTCTTACAGTGACTTATTATAATGACATAGTAATGATATTAGGTAATAGTTCTTTCAGGTTTTCAGCTATAAGTATACAAATATTAAAAATTTTCCTTTTGTCTATGTAAGTCTGTTTGAGTCCGGGTTTGACCTTTAATGTGCACTCTTACAGGCTTTCCACAAATGGAGAGATTAAATTGAGGTTGATGGTTTCATGGGGAACATGAGACTTGTGGTCCCGTTAGCGATGTGCTTGTGAGAATGTAATAGGGTTGCATAGTTTGAGCATTATCCTATTATTGAGGGTTCATCATTAGACACAGTATTCATGGTAACATTTGGTAATTTAATTAATTGCTGCTGATGTTCTCCTAATTTCATTTTCATTGTGCGTCTGTGGAATCATAAGCAAAAGGTTAAGTGGCACATTAGGTTAATTTACTGGCCTTTGATGTTTCCATCTGTGGCCCTACGTTCAATACAAAGCATAAGTAAAATGGCTCTCCTATGGTTACGGTCCACAGGCATTGCTCCCTCCTACAGTGAACTGTCTTTTTTTTTTTTTTTTATGCTTCTCAAAATCCACTCAATCCGTAGACCATTACACTAATATGGATCATGGACTTTTTGGTTTATGAAAACAAATTAGATCAACTCAGAGGGGAAAACTGCCATTCGAAGAAGAGATCAGACAACAGTATAATTGAAAATCAAGGATAAAGTATTACTTAAAATTTTTTAAAAAGGGAGATTTTTACAAGATTTCTCATTCATAACTGGCTCCAGGCCAGATTTTACAGAATAGTGCTATCCTAAAGATGAAATTCCTTAACAGTAATATTGCAATAACCATTTTCTAAAGTAGTCCACACTGGGCTAAAAAAAATATATTGTTTGCCACTATATTTATTTTTCTGAAAAACCTGTTGCACACCTTTTTCAGAACGAGTAGCCCAGCATCGCCAGTGAAAAGCATTATACATTATAAGGTCAGCTGGTCAACCTTATTTTTTCCCTGCTTCTCATAGACTATGTATGGTGGAGGCATTTATACCCCAAGCAAGCATTTTACTTACTTAAAAAGTAAAATGAAGAGAGTGGTTGTTGGTTTTTTTCTTTAGAATCAGTGCAGTATGCACAGCTTTCACAGTCTAGACATCGACATTTAAACTAATTTAAATGAATTATTCCCTGGCTTTTCATGGAAGTGCCGATATTGTTTAATGCGATCACGTTAATACATCTGTACAAAACTGGAATCTTATTCCATTTTAGTTGATAGCTGTACAAGAAATCTCTTCCTCCTGACAGTATTTTCCAGACCTAAGCTTTGAGTCAGAAAAGGGCCAATTTGTAAACAAGGGGGTGCCTCATGGCTGCCTGCAGGGGTCTATTCATAAACCAAGTTGTCAGGTGACACAATGACTCTATTTTGGAACAGTGACACGGGCCCTTTACATTTACCTATAACTCTCCCACTGCTCTGTGCATAATTTTTATTTATCTTAATATTATTTTCATGCATAATAAATATATAAACAACCCTGTCAGTGCCTCCTGGTGGCCATTTTCTCTCTTTTTGTTTTACGTGTCCTGAGGGTCCCTTAAGCTATTTGTAGCGAAAGGAAGGGACAGGACTAAAAAAAAAAGAGAGAAAGAAAGACTCATACATTTAGGACAATTGTCTCTCATTTTTGAGAGAATTCTGACACTGAATTAGGTCTTTGGAAGAAATCCTGCTGTCAAGGTGCTTAATAGAAACCTGGGTTATAGCTGAATTTGCAGGGGAAGCTCAAAGGCCCTTGTTAAGTCAAAAGTTGCTGCACAACAGAGGGCCTGGTGAGGGCGACGGCAGGGTCGCGGGCCACCCCCCGTGCCACTCAAAAAGCACAGTTAAAGCCCAGGCCCTGAGCAGCGAACTGCAGGGCCCCGCGCAGCTGACTGAGCGTGTTGGAGAGTAGGTGACACTGAGGCAGTCGCACACGCTCTGTTCCTCCTCCGAGAGATCCAGCATGCCTCGGTTTTGCAAGGTCTGCCAATTTCTCTGGCAAACGGTTAGGCGGCCCTAGCACGGTCCTGCAGACCCGTGGTCCCTGTAGCCACGCCGACCGGCTCAGTAGAGCAGGACCTGGGGGCCCGGACTCATCCGACGCGATTTCAGTCAAGGCGGAGGCCGCTGCCCTGTGCAGGCCACAAGGCTTGGTGGGGACAACCCTCTCGCGGGTGTCCTAGGGCGCGCTGGCACGAGACCCACGGCCACGGGGCTGGGCTCGGACGCGTCTCCCTCCTGGCCGCCTGCCTGTGCGTCCTCCGACCCCAGTCACTAGCTTGGGTTCCTTGTCGGGGCGCGTGTGGTGTAGCCATGTAAACTGCCACTCTCAACTTTTCTTTTGGTTAGCGCGCCTTGCCTCTGCCCTTCCTCTGGGGCTGAAAACTAAGCTGGAGTTTGCGTCCTGGAATTGACTGAGTCTCACCGCCTGGGTCCGGGACTTCACGGCCCCGCCTCCGTCCTGGGTGGCCCCGCTAGACCTCAGTCCTTCGGGTCCCCTCTTTCCGCCCGGAGCCTGTGTGCTTCCCCCGAGTTGTACACCCTGACACGCCCATTGCGGGCTCCTCCAGTCCTCTCGGCTCCGGAGAAAGTCTGTAAGCGGCCCCGCGCTGCTGGGGTTCCTGCGGCCAGGGGTCGTTTTTGGGCTCCGGGACCCGGCAGCTCCAGAGCGGTCCGGGGACCCCGCGCCCGGCGGCGCGTACCCCTGCGCTCGCGCACGGAGAGGGTCCGGGCTCCGAAACCGCCCTCTCTGGGCAGCGGGGCGCCCTCCTCCCCGCGCGACCCCGCCTCTCCAGCGTGGCCCGGCGTCCCCTGGCCAGGGCTCCCGGGTGCTGCGCGCACCCCTCTCCGCGAGCTCCCACCCCTTTCGGGGTCTCCTCCCTCTCGTCCTCACCTCGGCTCGCTCGCTCCCGCCCTCCGCCCGCCCGCCCTCGCTCACCTGGTTGTTTTTGCAGAGATCAGCCCACATGCTGGTGCCGTCCCCTCCGCGCATCAGGACGTGGTAGGTGAAGAAGTAGATGCCCGGGATGGAGCAGGTGAACTTGCCCGTGGTGGGGTCGTAGTGGTTCCCGAGGTTGGTGACCACGTCGTCGAACTTGAGCACCTCGTAGCCTTCGTGCTGCCGCTTGAGGCCAGCGTAGAAGGCGATCTTGGGCACCGTGCTGTAGGTGGCCGCGCTGATGGCCCCGGCCGCGTTCAGGCCGGGAGCCCCGGGCGGGCCCGGCAGGCCTTGGCGGCCGGGCTCGCCCTTCTCGCCCGGGGGCCCCACGGGGCCCGGCGGCCCGGGCTCTCCGGGGGGCCCACGCGGGCCTGCCTTCCCGGGCCTGCCGGCCTCGCCCTTGGGGCCCTGGATGAAGGTGGGCAGGGACTGCATGAGGCCGCGGTCGGGCGTGGCGGCGGTGCTGGGCGCCTTGGTGCCGCCGTAGGGGTCGCAGACCATGCGGCAGGTGCCCAGCATCTCGTAGTGCGCCGACGTGCCGGCCGAGCTCACCAGCACCGGGATGAGGATGACCAGCAGGAGCACCATCACCACCCCCAGCGCCCCGGCGGCGATCAGGCGCCTCCTGCTGCCCACCAGCCGGCTCAGCGCGGGGCGATCCTCTTGTCTGCTTTTGGACAAAATTTTGAAGGTTGGGCGGGGACCTCTCAGAGCCGAAAACAATCCCCTCCGAGCCCCAACTCCCCCGGCGGGCGCGCGCGGGCCGCTCCTCCGCGGCTCTGCTCCCCGCGCGGAGGCTGCGCCGAGCGACTGGAGCCGAAGTCCTGGGCGGGGTGGGGGCCGCAGGCGGGGTGCGCGGGGCGCCCGGTCGCCTCCCGCGAGCCCCTTCGCACCTGTGGCTGCCGCCGCGGGCGCGGGCACCCGGAGGGCGCAGCCGGCAGCCGCCGCGTCTCGCTCGTCCCGGGCCGCTCACACTTTTATGCCCCCGCTGCCTGCGATCGACTTTCCCGTTTTTGCAGACTGCGCCAGTTCGCACCAACTTTCCGTCCGAAGTTGCCTTTTTCTGCCTCCTCCTCCTCCTCCTCTTCGTTCGCAGGCTCGGCTCGCCCTTCCCCTGCGTTTTCTCCCCCTCCCTTCTCCTTCCTTCTTTGCAGACACCACAACTCCAGCAGGAGCGCCCCTCCCCGGGGCCCCCGGCGGCGTGGCGCGGGCGGGCGCGGTCGGCTCGGCCCGGCTCGGGCTGCAGCGCGGAAGCAGCCAGCGAGCAGTGGCGAGCGCCTCGCGGCCGGCAGCGGAGCGCGAGAGAGACTGAGCGCAGGGTTCTGCCTGGGCACCACCTGCCAGGAGGAGAGGAGGCTGAGAAACGCGCGCCGGAGCAATTTATAGGCACCCGAGGCACGGAGGAAGGGGAGCCGCTTTGGCATCTCCGTGCGGCATCTGCTGCGCTCATCCCACTCAGACAGAGTTTGGCATTACTCTGACAATGTGGGATTTTTTTTTTCTCGGCCTCTCTTTTTTTCTCTCGCTGCACATGGATGAGCAGCGAGATCCTGAATACTCCCTTGCCGAACCCAGGCGATGGCAGCGCTCTTGCCGGACAAACCTGGGGGAGGGATCAGCTGTGCCCAGCCTTGGCCGGGGCACACCGAGGCCGCCTGTTTCCCCCCTGCCCGAGCCCCACTTGGAGGGTCAGGGTGAAGGTGGAAAGGAAGAGGAAGGTGGCCTCGTTGCCAGTGTGTCTCTCCCGGCCCACTCACCCACAATCAGGTGTTTCTGCAAAATGCCACTTTTAACATAAGGAGGGCCCTTTAGGGTTTTCCAGATGGTACATATGATTTTTTTAACCTTCTGATTTTCCTCTCCAGCTTTCCAAATGAAATAAAACATTACCCCGAGAGCAGGAAGGTGTGTTACAACACCAAAGGACATTTCTCTATGATTTTCAATGGACACGTCCACCCCAGGTAGAGGAGACGGTTGGTTCTTTTTACAAGTGCTGCACAACACGAACTCGACTAACAGGCTTGCAATTCCACCAAGTTCTTGGCAGATACCGTCACTGGGCTTGAAGCTGCATCTACTTCAGGGTGCTACATGCATGAGAAATAATCACTTGTCAGAATGCCTTCAGAAGTCTTACGATAAAGCAAGCAACCTTTACATGAGTGCGAAGCAAGGTCTCCCCTGAAGATACAGAAAGAGTTCCATAAGCTCCTTAGCAGATTTCCCAAATGTACATTAGGGGAGGGGGAAACAGGGAAATATAACACCCCTCTCCCCCATTGGCAATGGGAGAGCAGAAGAAACAGCCCGGATTTGGAATATTAATAGAAAGCCCTCAGAGTAGATATTAGCTGAGTTATCCCACTCACAAATACAGAAGGCACCCAAGAACGGCTTTAAATAAATAAGGAGAATTGATTCCTAAATCATACTTTTGCATTCAGGAGCAAAGGCTGTCAATCAAACATAGGTGACATTTGCTTGTCAATAGGGGATGATGGCTGGGAAGACCATCACTTATTACATCCGGGAGAGAATCTGAAGTGAGAGGCAGGAACAACTAGGAGGGCGGGGAGCAAACAATGACATCCCAGAAGACAGAGAGAAGCCCTGCCTGTGGGCTCCACAGCCCAGATATTTCCTTGGGGCTTCCTCAGCTCCCCTCATTCTGTGCACCTCAGTTCACTCCAACCCCTTTAGCTCTTTCTGTCCTTCTTTGATTCCAAACAAAATAAGGTCAAATGAGCAGATGGGAGGAAACACATTCATTGATTGCATTAAGAGGAATGCCAGCAGCTCCTCAAGGTCTTCATGTGAGAACCAACATGAAGGTGATGGCCTCGCCGCTCAGCACGGTCCAGATGTCCATGTCATCTTTCCACCCTCATGGATGCTGAGAACTCCTTGGATCCTGGAACTGGAAAATGCCCCTTCTCACTTCTGAAAACTTTAACCTTTACTTTAGGATCAAAGGTTTCATAAATGTGGGTCTGGACCCTGAGCATAATTAGATGTGTTGTTCTGTACATTTTTATTCTCACGAGCTACCTTTATTTTCATATTTTTAAGCAGCATACTTGTGGTAAGATCTCTCCTGGCTGTAATACCTGTTTTCATAACACATTTTGGTCGCTTCTCGAAAGTCATCTTTCTTTTGGAGGAGAAAATGGCATGATATGGTACAAGCAAGGGAGGCTCATGTGTCCCTGAAGTAAACTCTTTGGTGCACCAAGTTATCAAAATCCATTTGGCCTCTACAGCTGAGGGGAGATGGGGGATAAAAAGGAGTTTTTAAAAAGTAGAGAGGTATAAATAAATTCTCATCAAAACTCCAAGAGACATGGAGCTGTCTCCTCGAAGAGTGTTTGTCCCATGGAGGAACCTGATAAGGGTTGGTATGAACCCTGGAGAGGTAGTCTCTACCAGATAGAGAAACTGAGTCAAAGAACTCTGCGTAGAATTGGGTCTATCTTTTGAGCTTGCTCTCTATTCGATATTAATATATCCATCCCCCACCTCTAAGACTTGTGGTTAATACTATTAGTAATTGAGATTTTTCTCCTTCCTCTTTCCTCTGATGCCAAAGCCAAGCTTGACTTTGCAATTCTGCTAAGAGTTAGAAAGGGGCTCAGTAGTCACTGTTGATAGTGAAGCATCCTCCCCCAAAGGCCCAAGCCCAACCCCAGATTTCATGTAAAATGTACATACATTGGTAGCAACGGATATTTGGCTCTTTAGTGAAGTAAGTTTAAATTGTTGGTCTCCTTCCTCCCTTCTAGAGATACCGCATCATAAACTTTGAGGGAAACCCTTTTCGGTGCCCCTGAGATTTTCCAGGATGATTTGGTAGTAGGCAAGTGTAATATATAGCCGGTTACAGTCACTTTCCACTGCGTGAATTTCACAGAAAGCTCTCTGGAATGTTACTCATGCTCCAGGTCTTGCTCTGGCAGTTTGAATAAACCATCTGATATGACATATGACTCATCCTCTTTATATGTGTATAATAACAGAATATGTGTCAATTAAAAAATATTTAATTTTCACCAGCTCTCATTGGAGAACCAAGTTTTCTCTTACATTTGATATTAATCCTGGAAAAGGCCCTGGAATCCCATTTTTATAGCATCTCCAAACCATTTCTTAAGGAAACACCCTGCTCTACATTCCCACTCCTTCACCAGCTGGGACCTTTCGGGTGACGGAGCTCAATTTGGAAGCCCATGATGGGAGCTGGATGGCAATCCTGTAAATTTCATCTTCCCCCACCTCAATTTGTCACTTTCGAAGAGCTGAGTCGATCTTAAGCCCACGCTCCCACGCAGAAGTGCTTAGCTATCTATCAGACTTCACTGAGCACTCACTGGGCAGCATGGCCAACCCCAGGCTCTTACTAGGCAAACAGATATTTAGTCATGAGAATGATTTCCAAATCCAGCAGCACTTAAACAGAAATAGCATCTCTTGTAAGAAGGAAAGAAACACCAACTTAACAATTCAAGGGCTAGCCAGAGAAGCAGGCATTAAAAAATATGGAAAATTAGGACTGGATCAGCTATTTACCTTTAATTTCTTGGTCTTTGAATTGTTTTTGAGAACATATAGTCTTTTGAGTAATTATAGATTTCCTATCAGGAAGGGTCTCCTTGGCATTATGTAGGAAAGTAGTATATCCTATAGCTTTTTGAACCAGATATGTCTTAATCTGGACCCTAACTTCATTTAGTAGCTGGGAAAGTTGCTTAATCTCCCTAAGACTCAACTTCCTTTTCTATAAAATGGGAAGAACACTCTTACCTAAATCACAGGGTTGTTCTGAGGACTAAATAAGTTAATACATATAAATAAATGATACCAAACTCTTAATAAGAGCCCAATAAAAGCCAACTTGCATCTTCCTATATTGTGGGATTACTGAGTAGTGCATCTGTCCATGAGTTGCATGGTAGAAATGAGACTTAGTACAAGAAGCTAAAGCTAAAAGGTTAGACTTAAAACTGATAGCATACAGTAGACGATAAGTATCACAGACTTAGATAAAACTAGAAATGACAAAAGTGCTCCCAAAGAGTTACCTGTCTTCTCTTCTATGATGTAACTCAAAGCAAGGCAAAGCTCAAAATAAAGGTCAATTTACCTTTCTCCAAAGGAAAAAAGTGAAGTCTCATTAAATCAAGATTACTTGAATTCACTTCAGTTCAAGAGACTGAGTGTTCAGACACAGGAGCTAATGTGAGTTGCTTTTTTTTATCCTCTAGATGGTCCCCCAGGTCAACAAGTTGTGAATCTGTTTTTAAATTATTGGGGCAGTTATTCGAGAACTCTTCTTATGGATGATAACTCTCCAATAAGCAAATGACAGAGAGGGCTGCTTTATAATCAGCCAGAGAAGCAATCACTTCACGAGACACAAAAGTCATAACCACATCCTGTAAGAACTTCTCAAGACAAAACTCTCCATGAAAGAGGAAGCTAGTTGGACAGATCTGTTGTCACAAATTATCAAATAGGCAAATAAGAGGGTGGCAACTAGCAATCACTGAAGATTTGGTTACAATATATGGCTTCACACTGGTCTCACATTCTAGCTATATCAATAAAAATA